CTTATTTTCAAATATTATTATACCAAATTTTATTTATATATTTTAACAATTTAAAAAAGTAAATCAGAGCTAAAAAATGCAAAAACACAAACAAATTTGCCTGTATTAGTCTATAATCTAAGAGATAGGTTCTTAAATATTATATTAGTTTGGTATAAAAGAAGTAATAAGCATTTTAAAAAAAATATATGCAGATTTTTATTAAAGAATTATTTCATATGATTAGCAAATTATAAGAAAGTTAACTTATAAGCATGATCATAAGGCTTGTAGTATACATATCATAAAAAGTATTTTGATATAGTTTTATCTGTATTTTAGCATTTAGCATTCGGCAATTTCTAAAACCAAAATTAATGTAAAAGTCTAAGTTAATTATTAAATATAATATTGATACTATATGTTCATGCAAAATTAACAAATAGTGATTTATTAATCCAGTCAGATACATTGTGAAAGTATTGGTTGGCACTAATAGAACTAACTGAGATAATCTAATATTATACTCTAACTAATATTAAATAAACAAAACTAAAAACTTCAAATTAGTAGGCAATGATTGAGGCATAGAGAGACTTGGTTCAAGTTTTGAGGTTTTTGGATTTTAAGGTTGTTACCAGGACTTGAATAAATTCTTTTTTTACTTTGAGTATATATTTTTTGTATTTAATAGGTTGCCTTGTACTAATGTCTTTGCTATATTTCTCTGGAATTTAGGTATACTGCTTATTTTCAGATCACATGATTATATAGTTATGATCTATTTCAAATTACATATGTATTATGCTAACAATGAGTTTAATTACAAATATAATTACTAGTAAATTCTATATAAAAGGGTCTTGATTATTAATATAATCTTTTTCTCTTATTTTATACTATTATCAATAATGGGTCAACAAGGTTACAGGACAAGAAATATGATTATTATAAATGATATTTTAATAACAAGGGTTTTAAACACTACTTGGACACTTCTATTACATTAGTTTCAAAGTTTAGATACCAAGAGTCTTTTTGAACTACAAGTGTTAAGTTTTATTGCAGAAAATTCTTCTTTTTATATACTTAATTTTTATATATACAAGAATAATACAAATTCTAATTTTTTCAGTTATTTATATCTTTTTAGCTATTGTAATCTTTTTAGCTTTTCTTATTTTCTCTACTTTTTTTTAATTATCTAAATTTCAGAAATTCTAGAAATTTTAGGAATTTGTACCAAACTAGCTACTGTAATCTATTGGCATTGATCTTGCCTTTTACAATGTACAGTATTTGAATACATTCTTTCACTTGCCATATAACTATATATACCATTCCTGGTATAACAAAGCCATGATCTTGGAAACTAAAGTTTCAAAGATTTGCAAATAAAACTGTAGTTTCTAAGATCTAAAATTTTAATTATTTTAAGCTTTGGGCTTTTGTAATTCTTAAGTATTTGAATTAAAAAATTTTTTTTGTTAGTTAGTAAATAACCATTTTACTTAAATATGTTTAATTAATTTATTACTTTCGAATTATTATTATTGATATACTTTTATGTTGCTAATTAAGATTCCTTATTAATTAAATTGATCCATTAAATTAAATTAATTATATAAGCATAAACTGATTAATTTATCATAACATGTATATACAAGCCACTCTTTAATTATTGTATAGTGTAAACTAAAATATCAAAGATATTTTACAATTTAAGCAGTATTTATAGATATTACAGTATTATAGTTAGAAAGATACTATGGTCAGTGTAAGGGGTATAAGTTGCACTATGAGTGCTACAGTATCATCTTTAGTATCTGGGTACAAATATATACTATTTTAGATATCTTAGTGTTAAAGGAATTATTTAAATCCAAATATATAGTAATTTATTTGCATCATATAATTGTTACTTTACAAATTTATTAATAAGCAATTTAAAAACTATCTGATATCTATATGTGTGAATAAAATAATAATAATTATAAAAGCAATAACAATAATAGTAAGATAAAATAATATTTATGCTATATTTATAATACTACAGTATTGCAAACAAATAATCTTTAAAGCTTATTAAGATTACTAGGTTTTGGATGACATTTTTAAAGATTTTCTTCAACCTCAAACTAAAGATTTTTAATAGGATTAAGGTCCAGACTATATGGTGGTCATTTTAACATTTTAATATACTTATTGGCTAAATATTTTTTAACAATCATGCCTCTGTGGACTGAGGCACTGTTATGTTAAAATACTCTATTACTGTTGGAGTATCAGTTCTGAAGCTTGAAAATAGCATAATAACTAAATGTTCTATAATAAGATACACTTGTGATACTGCTGTTAAGACAAACAAGAGGACCAAGACTCTACTAAGAAAAACATCTTTACATCATAATCCTCCTGAATTTGATTGCCAGAATAAGACAATCATTATTAAATTCTTTATCTGGCCTTCTTTATACATACTAATGAGGATTATATAAGACTAAACTAAAATACTTTTTATCTGACCAAAGAACATTTTTCTAGTCTTCAATTATCTAATTAAGATACATCTCTGCTTAATTTCAATGCTCTTTTTTAGTTTTATCATTAATGAAAGGTTTTGCACAGGCAACATGTGTGAACAGGTTGGCTTTGTAGAAAGTACGATTAATAGTTTTTTGAGAAATTACCTATAAAATATAAAATAAATTAAAATTATAATAAAATAAATAAAAAAATAAAAAAAATTAAAATTAAAAATTAAAATAAAAGGAATAACAATAAATAAAAAAATAAAATAAAATAATTATTACTTAGTCTTTTTCCTGTTCTAATGCATCTTGAATATCCTTTAGTTATACAGCAATTATTCAAAATGAGTTGTATTAAACAATTACGTACTGGTTTATCTAATAGTAATAGTCTTTTTTGATGATCCAACAATGTTTGAGATATGTTGTAATATCATTTTAACATATTTTCTATAGTCATTGGATCACAACCAACAAGATTGGCAATTTGTCTATATGATTTGTCTAATTTTCAAGCAAATATAATTTTTCCACATTTTTGATCTAAAAGCATGCATTTTGTTAAATATAAAAATGCTTTAATGAAATATATTTATATTTACAAGTTTCTTAACTTGATCAAAAAAAAATACTTGCCAAATAAAAGTATGAGTGCAATGCTATAATTTGTTATAATTATAATGATTATAGCATTTTTTGCTGTAATTTATTATAGCAAATTATAGCATTGTGCTCATATCTCTAACAGCAAATAGTTATAAATTACTGATTTTATACAGCATATATAAGTTTCTGTAAATTAAATTTTCATATAATTATAGAGTAAATTTGAATATATGTAAATTTTATATAACCTTTTGCTATTTAAAAGCCAAATAGTAAATAATAATAAGTATTATTAAATTAATTGCCTTGTTTAGAAGTAATAATAGTTACTAATAAAACTCTATTAAATATCTAGAATAGGCCTATACATGATTAGATAAGCTGTGATTGTGAAAGTGAGTTTGCATTTGAACTCATTTGCTCAGAAGAATCTTACTATTTTGTCATTCTTTTAAACTTCATATTTAGTTAGTCTGCTTGATGCAGTGTGAAAAACCATTAGCTGATGATATGCATTATGAATTATGCTGATAATGGTTATATTTGGTGCAAATTGTAATTGCTAATTCTAAGAGCATAGCCAGTCACAGCTTTGTATTGATTGCACTGATGTATGCTGCTGCTGTGCATTATCAATAAAATCTATTTAATAAAGTTCAATATCTGACTCAAGTGGTCAAATGCTTTTGCATAAATATGTCACATACATGTAATGATTTTTGATAGCATTTAATTTATTTAAATCAATTTCTAAAATAAAAGCTACACAAATAGCCTAGTTGATGAACATTAGTTAAAAAAAAGAAAGAAGTTGCATTAACATCAAAATTAAAGGAAAAAAAGACTACACAATCATTATATTTGTTATAAAAACAAAATCACTAAGAACTAAGTAAAGATTAGGAAAATTAGTTATTATATACATGCCATAGAAACTTGCTATGGCTTTGTCAAAATATTTTGACATCGATTTTTTGATAATTCATGCCATAACACAAAACCAATACCTAAATCTATAATCAATGCTATAACCTAAATTAAAAGCTAAATTAAATATATAGAAATTATATATAATACTAATTGCAGCTTGCTAAAAATATTTATTATTGATTTTTAGTAAAAATATTAAGCCACAACTGTTACAACTTAAAGCCATAACAAAAACTTATATAAATACTATAATTTAAATTAAAAGCTGTAATTCAAATATTATAAATCCTGTAATTGTTAGCTAGTACTTTTAACAAATTAAAACCTATTTTATAGCAACTATATTTATTTACATAATAATAAATAAATTGAATAAATGCTCAAATATCAAAACTATATACCAAAGTATTAATATTAAATTCTATATTGTCATAGTTCTTTTTAATATTGTCTTTAACAACCTTAAAACTAACAACTCTATTAAGTACTAAAGGTTGCACTACAAAATTAGATGAATCTAAGTTTATTGTATTACCAAGTATTAATGATTCACTTTTGATTGAAATATAATGAATATAGTTTAGACTTTCAGCACTTTTTGGCACTTGCAGTATTAATTTTGGCTTAAGGCATCACTTATTAGTTTTGGCATTAATTTTGGCTTTAGAAAATGCTGAATGCTGAATGCTAAATGCTAAAATACAGATAGAAATATGCTAAAATACTTTTTATGACATGTATACCACAAGCCTTATAGTTACACCTATAGGTTAACTTTCTTGTAATTTGCTGATTATATGAAATAATTCTTTAATAAGGATCTGCATATATTTTTTTAAAATGCCTATTACTTCTTTTATGCCAAACTAATATAATATTTAAAGACCTATAGCTTATTATACTAAAGCTTGTTATAATAAGATTTGTTAAAGCTCTGTAGTATTATAGTAATTCCTATACTGCATATATATATATAAAGTTTTAAACACTTGTTACTAACTCTATTCTTATATATTAATATTTTTTTACAGATTAAACCTTTTCAATATAGCTTAGAAACTACTTTATCTATTTCTAAAAAAAAAAAGTTTATACTTTTAGTTTTTTTCCAAACCCAGCTACATTTAGCATTTTAGTAATCACATATAGTTTTATAATTACAATATATTTCTTCTAAGAAAGTAATTCTAGGTATAGAATTATTTAAAATTATTTGTATAGTAACTATTGGCACTTCTTCAAAGATAAAGATAAGTTAATTTTTAAAAAGTACTTTAACTATATAAATACAATTGTAAGTAATTGACTAATCAGAAATTGTTCTATATATGATGCTCTCAAACTAATGCTTAGGAATACATTAATTGAATAGATGTATTATATTAAAGTAGATGAAAATTTGAAATTATATTTTCTATAGTCTAGCATAGTAGATAAAAAAAAATAATAATAAACAATGTTTACTAAAAAAACTATAAAGTTAGAAAATACATATTAGTGAATTAAGCATTCTTTCATAATTATGTTATGTGATTATTGTGACAATCACCAACAAAATTATTATAAATTATTTAGTAAATTTCTACCTTAGTTATCTTTACTTTTAGTAATTCAAATCAAATAAATATTTTTTTGTTTAAAAGCACTTAATCTTCTCTACAAAATAAAAAAAATTATAATGAATCCACTACTAGTTGCTAAGATAATTAAAATATATAATGACTAATAAAATTTGATATATTGTAATAGATTATTTAAATTATCTTTGCAATTAGTAATTAAATTTTTATTTTTATTTTATTTTATAAAGCAAGTATATATCTATTAAATAAAAAAAAATTTAATTTAGACTAATAATTCTTGAGAAAATTAGATTTAAAATTTAGGTTATAAACATTTTGTTTTTATTAATTTTTTAATTAATTTACTAATTAAAATTATATAAAATTTATATAATAAATAAAGAAAAAATTTTTCTATAAGATAGCAAAATATTATTAAAGATAAACTAATAATTATTGAAATATTTATATAGAAACACAAATTTTTATGTTATTCATCAAAACTCTAAAAGTAAAGTTAAATAACTTGCTAATTATGCAAGTATGTAATCTAAAAATAATATAACATAATTATCAAGAAATAAGAATTAATATAGACTAATCAAGAACATAAGTTAATTAGCAAGTTTTGAAGTTATAAGCCAAGTCCTTAGGTATGGAAATATTTTTGTCACCTCTCTGTAATAAATTCTTAAAGAATAATATTTAAAGTAATATTAATATAAAATTAAAAAATATTGTGAATTTGTAAAATAAATATGTTGCTTTTCAAGATATTTAAAATATAATTTATATAAATAAAAGTTCTTAAATAAATGAGTCTAAGTTGTAAGTAATAAAAATATTTTTAATAATTAATAGTTTAGTACTTGTTATATAAAAATAAATAAAACCTGACAAAGTTTATACCAATTTAAAATTATTTTTTAATTGAATAAGAAGAAATAAAATAGTGTAAGTTAAAAAGTTGTTAGTAGTTTGTTTTATAAAAAAGAGTATAGATAAATTTGGTAAGCCAGTTTTTTGTTGTACTAAGAAGTATTTTTAAAAAGTATTTTGGTTGCTTTAATAATATATAAGTTTTTGTTTATAATTATATTTATAATAAATTTAGGTTTTTTAATTACTATAGTTTGAATTAATAAGCTAAAATTGCTTTTTATAACTAGTTTATTAAATGTTATAAAATTGATAATTAAACTGAAATAAAAATCTTTGAAAATTAGTTTTAAGAAATCTAATATTTGAATTCCAAATGTTGTAAATACAAATAAAGAAGAGCTTTTTGAAATAGAATAGCTTTTAAACTAATCTAAAAGATAATCTTATAAAGTTGTAGTTTGTGGATTTATTTTATAATTGTAAATAGTATTAATAATAAAAAAATAGTTAAAATTGTGAATAGTTTAGAACAAAGATATAAGAAGAACTTTTTGAGTAGTTTATAATATGAGTAAAAAGTGTATTATGATATAAATAGTAAAAAAAAGCAGATAAAAAAAATAAGAATTAAGCAAAAAAATTAAGTTTTTCAAAATTGTTTATAAATTTTTTAGAAAGTTAGTGAATTTTCTAGGTTCTTTTAAGGAAATTTAAAACAATATTAAATATTTAAATATTTTTAAGATTAGTAAAAAGTAAAATTTCTAGAACTACCTATTAAATTTGCTGAAATTAATTAATAAAATTTTAGAAAGAAGTTTGAATAAAAGTTTAAAAAAAAATATAGATAACTTAATAAGTTTTGATCTGTTAAAGATAAAATTTATATTAAAATAATTATCTCAATAAGCTAAATATTTTTGTATAATAAAAAAAGATAAGTTGTTTAGTAGAATTTGGTAAAAATTAAAAAAGTATATTTTTTAAAAAATATTAATTTGTATATAATATAATAATTAGAATTTAATAAAATTAGTATAATTAAGTCTAGATCCTATAGCTTAGTGAATAAGCTTTTAGATCTACTATAAACAAAATTAACAGTTTAAGTTTAGCTAAAGGCAAAATATATTCTGTAATCTAATTAGAAGCTTATAATCAGATGTGAAGCTCTGTAATACAAGTTCTAGTAAATACTTGTTTAAATTGAAAATTTCTAAAAGAAGATTAATCTGTAAAGTGCAAACATTATATTTGGTAAAAAAACTAGTAAACACAGAAAGACTCATAAAAAAGATTGCTCTTACTAATTGAAAAATATTTTTAGCAAAAAAAACCTGTAACAGATGTAGTTATAGAATCTACTTATGTTTTGATAGAGTTTATCTTGTAAGTAAAGTAGTTCAAAAACCTGATGCATATTAAATTAAGTCCAATATTATGCAATATAATTTATATAATTTAAACTAATAGCTTGCAATAAATTAAATAAAATTTGCAAATTTATTTAAATAAATTTATTTTATCTTTTTTACAAAACAATAGAATTTTCTAATACTTTTTTTTTTTTAATATTAATGATAAGACCATACTTCTATCTTTATTAAATATTTAATTGAGATTTTACATAAAGTACAATTCTGCTTTTAAAATATTATAGAAAGAATAGAAGCTCAAACTAATTTATCTGCAATCTAAACCAACTGGAGTGGCCAAAGCTCATCTAGATTCGATTGTTAGTAATTATATATAGAAGATTAGTTTGATATTTAATTCATTGGATATATCAGAAGTTTATTTTTGAACTAATAGAGTTGAGTGAAAAAGAATGTGATGGAGGTAAGGCAGTATTTGGAAGTGTATTATATTCAGGAAGTTGAACTGTAGATCTTGAAATGCAGTATAAGATCCAGATTTTATGATAGATTTGTTGGTTAAGATAAAGTAAGAACTTGATAACAAGTGTTATGGCTATTTTTTTAGTTGACAGACTTGCAATAATGTCAATAAGTTCATTTGGTATTAAACCAGTTAGAGTTGAGAAAACTGAAGGTAAGTCTGGTATACTGTGAATAGTCATACTACTCGACAGCTTGATTTGGTTATATAAATTAGTTATAGTATTTAAAGTAGTGTTAAGTGTTTTAGTATTTAAAATATGTTGTAATAAAATGTCTATAAGGTTGTATAGCAATTGATTAGATGAGCAAGTTGTCCAGTGGAGATGAAAACTAATTTGATAACATTGATGACAAATAGGTGAATATAAGTGATTTCATTTGTGTAAAATATGTGGAGTAGGAAGGTCATCTAGTAGAATTTTAATTCTAAATGATTTAAGAGTAGAGAACTAAAAGCTATATAAAAAGTTTAAAATTTTTTGATTGTTGTTGATATATAGCCAGATGGCTTGCCAATTAACTTGATTAAGAATTTTGTGCCATATTTGAAAGTAGTTTTATGTAATTCATAGTGCATAAATATGTGCATAACATATTATATGAATATTGTGACAAGTAGGTAGTTCTAAAAAAAAGTTTTTAAAATTCAAGGTGTATGTGAGATTGTAGATATTATAGGACATAAAGGTAAGATATAGCAGATTGTAATGGCTGCGTACAAGTTGGTCTGCGAGATTATTGTACTGATCATCCTGGTAAGCAGTGACTTTGTGAAAAATGATATAAATATTGTATAATTTGACAAAATTAATAAGTGTGTTCCATAATGAAAAATATGATATATGTGTATAAGATAGAGTATGAATTAAGTTTAAGAGACTGTGATATTTAGAAATTACAGACTGTAAGTCAGTATATATATGTATAGTACTGTTCCTAGAGGCAGTAATAAGAGCTGATAGGATAGTAGTAAGCTCAAACTTAAATGAACAAGGCTAGTATTTAGTTTGGGCTTAGAATGTATACAGTATATTGTTGTTTAAAATTTGGACCCATCCGATACCCATAAAGCATTATGAGATGCCTAGGTTAATAACAGAGCCATTTGTATAAAAATGGAGTTCAGATAGTTATGCATTGTAGTTGGTGATTTGTTGAAGATTGTTTGTTAAAGTGCCAGGTTCAAATATAGTTGAAATTAGGTTTGTTGTAATGTTAATATTAGGGAGGTTAGGGATTTGAATAGAATGTCGAATTGCAATAGAGTATATAAGGTCAAGGTGATTAGCATTGAAGTTAAAAGATTTGTTGTGTGTATTAATTTGGCCAAAAAATCTGAAGAAGAGATTGATAGGGATATTGATTGTATATTTATTAGCAATTATATAAAAGTTAAGAGAGCAACCTGGGCATATTTGTAATTGAATAGATGGAAGTGGATATAAGTGAGTAAATTGTTGTTCTATATGGCATTGCTAGTGA